TCCAAATTTAGTTTTTCCCACCAGGATCTTTCCTTTCCGCACATATTCCATAAAAGGACGTCACTGTCTCTAATAAGTGCATATAAAAATGGAATCACTTTGGGTTTTCTTATAGCATTCTATCTACCAGTCAAAGTAAGTTCTTGTGATATGCTGAGTGTATCCGTCTTTGACTTCTGTGGAGGAAGAAAGTCTCCCAACATATTAGGAAAGCCCTTTCCTTTTGTTATGGGGGTGGGGGTTGGACAGCAAGATCACCATCATTCCTTTAAAATGAATCTGTCAGGAACAGGGTGATTATTCATTGAATCTCAGTGGGCACGTTTTCCATCTCAATTAACAGAGCCTGGATTTTTAGGTCTCTGATTCCTGGCCTGTGTGTGTGTGTGTGTGTGTGTGTGTGTGTGTGTGTGTGTTGCAGAAGGTTGGGGGCTGGGACTGGAAGGTTGTGGAGCTCATCAGTTGTCTTCTGCAGCGTTAGCATGAGAATTCACTGAAGCATGTCGAGCAGGTAAAAAAGATGTTGCTTTCTCAGCTCATTGTGAAAGGACTCAAGCATCTTTATGAAAAATACTGCAAGGTGAGAGCCAAAAACATGCTTACCTTAATCCAAACCACCAAATGATGTTTCATGGGGGCACATTTTTGTATAGAGCCGTTCCTGCTGGAAAAAAGACAGGTTGATTATTTTTAGATAATTTATTCTGAAAATACCACCTGTTGCACAAGAATTATAATGCCATTGGAAGGTTATCCTCAAGTGCAAACAAAACAAGAAGAATGCAACATCAGAAACAAAAATGAAAATGCTACAGCAAACACCGACCACAAAATACACGTTCGGTTGTGGGTCTCAATGTTACTTGGGCGGGGAAAGAACAATGAAGGGATGTAGACCGATGTCACACTCTCTGTGGGCACAGCTGGTGGCAGCATCTCCATCTCCTCTGTCCCTTAGAACTTGAGTGGTGCTTCTCATTTTCCCCATGACGTGGGTTCCTTCCCAGCCCTGGACTGCATGTTCACTTAGAGTTCTAGAAACATGGCCAAGGAAAATTTACTGATTCAGTCCTTAGAGAGCCTGGATTTTATTTTTTCTTTTTTGGTCTGTATTCTGGCATAGGACTGCCTTGTGTGTATCAACTTATACTTGTGTTTATTGTGTCATTGCACGTGATAAGATTTTTCAAATGAAAGTTCTCAGAGCTTAGCTATGATTTGGTGAGACATTTCATCGGGCATTGGGCTGTCGACATTTGAAATGATACTGGGTTTATGTTCATATTTTAAGAGTGAATGTGTTCATAATATCTGAAATCTATTCCTTTCTATTCATTGACCTCGAGAGATGAAAATAACACATCGCTTTTTTTTTAAAAGATTTTATTTATTTATTTGACAGGCAGAGATCACAAGTAGGCAGAGAGGCAGGCAGAGAGAGAGGGGGAAGCAGGCTCCCTGCCGAGCAGAGAGCCTGATGTGGGGCTCGATCCCAGGACCTTGGGATCATGACCTGAGCCGAAGGCAGAGACTTAACCCACTGAGCCACCCAGGCGCCCCCACATTGCTTTTTTTTTTTTTTTAAAGATTTTATTTATTTATTTATTTATTTATTTGACAGAGAGAGAGAGAGAAAGAGAGGGAAAGCACAAGCAGGAGGAACAGCAGGCAGAGGGAGAAGCAGGCTCCCTGCTGAATGGGGAGCCCAATGTGGGGCTCGATCCCCGGACCCCGGGATCATGACCCGAGCCCAAGGCAGATACTTAACTGACTGAGCCACCAGGTGCCCAACACATCACTTGTTGAATGCTGATTACATGCCAGACATTTTTTTTAAAGATTTTATTTATTTATTTGACAGAGATCACAAGTAGGCAGAGAGGCAGGCAGGGCGGGGGCAAAGCAGTCTCCCCGTTGAGCACAGAGCCCGATGTGGGGCTCGATCCCAGGACCCCGAGATCATGACCTGAGCCGAAGGCAGAAACTTAACCCACTGAGCCACCCAGGCGCCCCATGCCAGGCATTTTGCTAAATGCTTCACTTCTATTCATTCATTTCATCTTTGCAGCTGTCCTAAGCCATGGTGACTGCTCATATTGCTATTACGCAGATGGAGAAACTGAGGCACAGAGTCAGGAAGTAGTTCTTACACGTCGCACTGCTAGGAAGTGGGGGCGGGAGCTGCAGGGTTGGGCTTCAGAGAGTCCAGCTACAAAATCTGCCCACAAACGACCCTATCAGTCTCACACTTGCCCTGTACTTGGGCAGGAACATTTGTGTGTTTCTTGTGGAAACCGTAAAGGGTTAGCTGTTCACAACCAAAATGGCTCCTGCGATTTACACACATCGGGACGTAAGAGTTGCACTAGATGATGTGCTGATATGTCCTTCCTCACTTCAATGTCCTCTGTGAGCAGGAAGGAGGTTTCAGAATAGGAATCCCAGCCCTGTTGAAGTGGCCTCCAAATGTGTTAAAAACCCAGCGATTTCTTGCCATCCCCGCCGCTCTCACTCTGGTCCAGGCCCCCACGTATTTTGTCAGGATGGACGCCACGGGCCCTGTAAAGCTCTCCCTGCCGCCTGCCCTGCCCAGCCTCCTCCTGTCTGTTCTCTGTAAGGGCCGCTCGCAATCACTTCTCTATTCGTAACCTTCCAAAGGCTGCCTGTTTCACTCAGCACAAAACACAAAGCCCCTCCAAGAGCCTGTGTCACACACACACACACACACAGGTCCTTTATTTACCTCTGAGTCCAGGCAGTAACACGGGGCCCTGACCTGGGTTTCACATTCTGCTGTCTTAAAGTTCTGAATTAGGTTTGGGTGACAGTGTCTGCGTTTTGATTTTGCACTGTCAGTGCAGATTATGTAGCTGGTCAAGCGTGTGACACTTAGGAGACCTGGTGTGAGTCGCACCTGGCTTACCTCTGAGAATCGTGTGACCTTGACCCAGTTACTCTTCTGTGTTTGGCGTTTGCACTGAGGAGGTCGTGGGGTCAAACTGCCGTTCCTGTGGGGTGTTCTGAAGATAAAATCGGGTAACAGATGAGTGTCAGCGTGCAACGCGTAACACGTTAGCTCTCGACGAACACTTCTCTTTTTCTGAGCCTTTCAGACTGCGAGCTGCTAAATCGAAGACGCGTCCTTTCTGAGTAAAGGGGAATTTTAAACTTTTATTTTCTTAGTCGGTGGTACATGCCTAGAGGACAGATCCTGGAGGGTTTCCATTCGTTCTTCTCAACTCTTATTAATTACACAAAAGGACCACAGAATTCGTCCTTCTCAATCTTCTTTTTTTTTCCCCATTTGAACAATATGTTGTCCACGTGGCATATAGAATAGCATCTTTCGAGGTATTTCAAAATGATCTTCTTTTCCTTATCGAACATTAGAGAACAAAAAAATTGAATGAAGTCCACGTCATTGAAATAACAGTGCCTGCATTCCTTACAGGAGGGCGCTGGTGTTCAGACTAATAGCTCTTCGCTCACAAAAGGCTACACTGGCTATAGTCTGTGAGCGAAGCCTTCATGGAGAGTCCGGGGAGTTGGGGTTTGACCCGACACTCCGGCATATGAGGCGTGGGCCCTGGGAGCCAATAAGCCACTATTGGCTTCGGCTTCCCTCCTGGGATAATGCAGATGGTAACACCGGCCTCGTTATTCCCAGATCGTTTGGTGCATCAAATACGATACTTGTGGATGCATTTTGAAAATTTTTGAATGCCATACCTATTTTGAGTTTAAATGATGTTTTTTAAAGATTTTATTTATCCATTTGACAGAGAGAGAGAGAGAAAGAGACCGCAAGTGGTGGGGAGGGGCACAGGGAGAGGAAGAAGCAGGCTCCCTGCTGAGCAGGGAGCCCATCGCGGGGCTCCACCCCAGGACCCCGGGATCATGACTGGAGCCGAAGACAGATACTTAATTCGCTGAGCCACCCAGGCGCCCCTTGAGTTTAAATTATTGATAAAACTTCTGAAGTTAGGTGTGAACAAAGAGATTCATTTAAATCAGTTGAAAATTTCTCCAGAATATAAATGCCAGGAGTTAGTTTCCCATCTTTTTTGGAAAGGGGAAATGTGTTCGACACCAGAATAACCTATCACCACCCATATGATTCCCATCCCTTCAGTTTCACGGGAGCCAGAAGCCGTAGATGCTACTTATTGAATATCCATAATCTTCTGAGCTTCTTTCTCGGCATATCAGTTATAAATCGATAGTGTTCCGCAGACAGTTCTCTCTCTACATATTCATTCAGTGATTGATCGTGAATCCGCTCTGTGACAGCGGCTGCTCTAGGCAGCGGGGATGAGTCAGTTAACAAAACAAACTTCCTGTCCTCGTGGAGCTTCCACTCTAGGAGTGTGGACAGCAAAACAATTTTTTTTAAAAAAAGTGTGTTCTATAGCTCATTAGCAAGTGATTAGTGCTATGAGTGAAAATGTAGAAGAGGAGGGTGCCTGGGTGGCTCAGTGGATTAAAGCCTCTGCCTTCCACTCGGGTCATGATCTCAGGGTCCTGGGATCGAGCCCCGCATCGGGCTCTGCTCAGTGGGGAGCATGCTCCCCGCCCACCCCCCACCTGCTTGTGATCTCTCTCTTTCTGTTAAATAAATAAATAAAATCTTTTTAAAAAATGTAGAAGAGGGTAAAGGGGTTGTGGGTGTGGGGGACCAGGCTTGCGGTGTATGTGGCTAGAGGGTCACACCTGAGCAGACCAGAGAGGGGGTAGGGGGATCCACACCCATAGAGTGGTAGGATCAGCATTTCCGCTTGGGGGAACAGCCAGTGCAATAGCCTAATGCTGAAATGGGTCTGGTGTTTTCAAGAGATTAAGGAGGGGACACAAGAAGCGTAACTGTGTGCCTTCCCACGTCTTCCCCAGGCTCTCCCAAACGGAATAGAAAGTTTGGAAAGGAGAGGGAGAATATGATTGCCAAGCCATTGCCAAACACTTACACTAACACCTTTTTTCCATTGTGTGTGCTTTTCCCACAGTCACATGACGCAGGGCATCCCATTTGACGACCCTCGGTTGGAGAGCTGCCAGATCCTCCCTCCGGCGCCTCGGAGGGTGGAGATGAGGAGGGACCCCGTACTGGGGTTTGGTTTTGTGGCCGGGAGTGAGAAGCCGGTGGTCGTTCGCTCCGTAACACCAGGTAAGCACCCAGCCCGCTCCCGGTCTCCTGGGGTCACCTACCACACCCTGCACCAGCGACTGTCACTGAGTCCCATAGGTTTCATACCATTCCACGTTGAGCTGTGGAGCCTTGTGGAGTTTTTCCAACATCGGGCTAGAGTCAGACCGCCAGAGGGACACAAAGGGCTCTGTAGACTGGGTTTCAACTGCCAAATGCATCATATCTTTTGACTTCAGAAAACACGGATCTATCATTTGTAACCATGGAAATGACCTACTTCTTAAAGTATGAATGCACATCAAAAGAGACAGGCGCTGTGCTGTATTTCGGTAAGTTCACGATTAAACTCCTTAGTGAACAAAAGCGGAAAGTGGCATGAAGTCACAGAAGGATTTTAGTCATCGGAGCGCTTGGATTGTGTTCTGAGGATGTGCTCTTCTCCCCCCACTGGCCGCGGAATATAGTTCTCTACCCCGCTGTTGCCAGGCTGGACCAGGTTGCTGACTTTGGCCAACGGCCTGTTAGCAGAGATGACACTCAGAGGCTTGACAAGTGCTTGTACTGTTGACCTTCTCTATTGGATTTCTGTCATGGGAGTGGCAGGAGAGTTTCCCTCAAGAGGCTCTTACCTTTTCAGCCCGTCTGTGCTCACCCGAAAGGCCCATAGCCCGAGAAGAAGTGACCATCAGACAGCCTACTGAATCGGACACTAGTTCGTCATCCAGTAATGGCTGACTGATCACCAATGGGACAATTCCCAGCATCCCTCAGTAGGAGCCAGTCATTAATGTCCTCTGCCTCACGCTTTCTTATTAGACTCTACAGATGTCCGACATCCACACAGTTGAAAATAATGCCCTTAGGAGGCAATTACCTGAAGTGGGCCGCCCTGGCCTTTCTAGAAACAAGGCTCTTTGACTGATTTCTTTTTTCATGATATGTATTTATGAGTTTATCTTAATGGACTTGTATTGGATTTATTTTCACACAAAAGGAAATTGCCTTCCATACTATTCCTTCTCAGGATTTGGCAAATCACGGACAGAGCTCAGGAGAACAGTCCTGTGGTGAGGAGCACAGCCTCTGGCAACGGACTGCCCAGGTTTGACGGGTTTGGAGCTCACCTCTGCCCCCGTTAGACGTGTTGAGCTTCCATGTTAATTCCTCGCATTTCAGTTTGATGGACACTTCTCTGCGTCCTCTGGATAGTGGGGCTCATGCTCATATCTATCTTCAAGGGCTCGGGACAGAATGAAACACATTCTAAGAGTGCAGGTAGCTTTTCTCCGTCCCTGCATCTTTATGCTTACTGTTCCGGCCACCAGCGCCCCTGCGTCCCTGGTCACCATGCCTCACAAAATTGAAGGAATCGGGAACTTTGCTCTTAGCCAGGGAAAAGGATGCCAAACCTGTCAAGATCAAGAAAAATAAGGATCATATGAAGTTCAAAGTCCAGTGCAGCAGAAACCTTTATACCCTGGTCATCCCAGACAAAGAGAAGGCAGCCACGTGACGCTGTCCCTGTCCCCAGGTTTGGCAGTGAAGAAGCCAAAATGAAGCTGGTACACTGATTGGAACTGTATTAAAATTTTAAAAGCTCAAAAAGTAAATAAATACATAAAAGAGCGCCAGGTACCTCCTTCTCATTTCAAAGATATTTATTGTTATTATTACTAAACTCTAAAATATTTGGGCTACTGAGTCTGCCAGTTAAGGAGAATGAAAGGCATCTAGTGCGCAGTAGAGGTCTCAAAAGTTGATTGCATTTTTCATTTTTTTGACATCATATAGTCCAGGGTAAGCCCTGTGACCACAGTCAACCACCTTACAGACTCATACAGGGAAGAATCGGCTTCCTTTTCTCTCCCACCACTGCCTCACCACACAACCCGTTCCTGTTTGCCAAGCTTCCTCTTTTCTTTTTTTTATTTTTTATTTATTTATTTGACAGGGAGAGAGAGATCACAAGTAGGCAGAGAGGCAGGCAGAGAGAGAGGGGGAAGCAGGCTCCCTGCTGAGCAGAGAGCCCGATGCGGGGCTCGATCCCAGGACCCTGAGATCATGACCTGAGCCGAAGGCAGAGGCTTTAAACCACTGAGCCACCCAGGTGCCCCTAGCTTCCTCTTTTCTTAGCTGTAGGTCCTACCTCAGTTCTCTGTATGGCATCGTTGAGCTTGACGTGGCTGAGAATTGTATTACTAAAATGAAAGAGATTTGTCGCCTACTGTGATAACAAAATAATACACCCGCATTGTGAAAAACATACAATATAGATCATATAGAGGAGAAAGTTAAAAAAACAGAATCACCTGAGCTCCTACTACTCAGGGCGAGCCATTTTTTTTTTTTAAGATTTTATTTATTTATTAGAGAAAGAGAAAGAGACCGTGCGAGAGAGAACACAAGCACAGGAAGTGGGAGAGGGAGAAACAGGCTTCCCGCTGAGCAGGGAGCCCAATGTGGGGCTCGATTCCAGGACCCTGGGATCATGACCTGAGCCAAAGGCAGACACTTAACGACTGAGCCACCCAGGCGCCCCTAGGGCGAACCATTATTGTGTATGTAGAGGAGACAAGTCTGTGTATGAGGGTGCGTACATTATATGTCATACGTATGAGCTATATAATGTAGGGTAGGTGTGTGTACACACATCCTTTCCTGAGTGGGGTGACATTGAGCTGCTGCTTTCTGATAGAGGGACACTAACATCTCTGGTTCTGAGATTCTCTTAAAGAGGAGTCCTCCCCAGAGCAGGCAGGAGATCTGAGTGTTGTTCTAGGTTTTCCTATATTGCTTCATCGTTCCTTTAACCTCTTCCCTTCTTTGCCCTTGACTCTCCTGAGTCAGACACTGACCCTTCATTTTCGACAATTTTGACAACAGTGGACAAAAGTGAAACAGGTCAAAGATTACCATTTCCGATCACTTTGGGGTGTGAAAATAGTGGTCCAATAAATTGTGGCTTTCATAAAAATGACTCTGCTGAGGTCTCAGATGATTTCTGTGGCCTGACTAGATTTTCTGTACCAGACACCCCAGCCTTCAGAGTATGGGGCACGAAACAGTTCTCTGAAAGGAGCTGTGTCTTGCTTCCCTCTGAAATTCTTGTTTAAGTTGCTTGATTAAACGAGAATATTTCCATTTGGCCAAAAAGCCTGGGTCAGATGTAAAAATATTGCCTATTAATCGGCAAGTGGTTTTCGCAGGAAAGTAGTTAACGTCCATCAGCCAATCCGTGTGAACATTTTTCAGTATTTGATCAGCATCTGATTTCTAACCATTTGTTGGACTGAATTTGAGCGAATGTTTGCAGATAATCCAACGGTTCTATAAACTCTCTTAAGTGATTTTCAGAATTTCTTATGTGTGCAAACACTGAATTCTCAGTTCCCACATCTTGAAATGAATATTTTTCTATCACGATATGAGGAAATATTAAGGTTTTCTCTACTTTTTTACTACCCAGAAAGAAGATTCATTTATGCTCCAGCTTCAGTGACGCATATGCCAAGTGTCGGGGTGGGTGGGAAGCATCTGAATTCCTTTGAGATCCCGTCTCTGGCTGCGAAGTGCTCATTTCAATTACTGAATAAAGTCATCGCAATAATATTTGAGAGATCATCTTTCAGCTGCACCTATGACCTAGTGACAGACCTGGAAGTAAAATGAAAATTATAGTACCCTATCAGTATTTGGGAGGTAATTACATTAGACATGGAGGTAGTTGAAATATTCATTTATAGGTTTTATTTGATACTGATGTATGCTTTCTGCAGTTGTGGCTTTAAGTTTATGTCAGGAGACCTGGCAGTGACCAGTTTTTCAATTATAGGAACAAGTTCAAAAGAGATGCGGGTCACCCTGAACTTGACCGAGTCCACAGACCTAAGCTGCAGCCGGGTTCTATCCTTTAAGCCATTTCTTCAACCTGTGTGAGCCTGGGGCCTCTCATTCCATGGAAGGGTTTGTAAGTGTTATTGGGATTCTAGGCAAGGCAGCTAGGCCCTTGGCATGTAATAAATGTAATAAATGGTATGTAATAAATGCTCAGCAAATATTAGCTCCCTGCCTCCTTGCAAAAACCAATGGAAAAGACTATGATGGACCAAGACAAACCCAAGAGTCCTCTGTCATCTCGGGCGAGCACGGGCACATGCACCTAGGCTCGGTCCCTGCCACGGTCCCAGCCACAGAAGGGACCAAACGACCTCACCCCCCAGCTGATACGACTGTCTGCTGCTTTCTGAACAATCCCAGCTTTAGCTCTGCTTCCTTGCCCCCACCTTTTAGACAAGAATCACGAAGATGCCCCCACTTCTTGAGCCTCCCCAGAAGCACATAACACAGGCCCCATCCTGTCAGTCCTTCTTCCGATGGGCTTGCTGCCTCCCGGTTGCCGACAGTATGGGGCCTCCCTAGTTGGACTGAGTAAGTAAATGCAACTTTGTTCAGGTCCCTGTGTGCCCCGGTACTTTGGCTGCAGGCCATCTGCACATGGGTGGCCATCCCTTTGGGGCAACACCTTTTCGGGGCTTCCACACCAGTATACTCAGTTGACCAGCAGTGTCTGGAGCCCTTGGGAGCTGGTGAGAAGCGCTTTACCTCCCCGTCGCTACTCCGAATCTACGGAATCAGCCTGCAGGGTGCCACGGTCCCCGGCCTTGCGCATGTCCGTTCAAGTGTGCGGTTTTCCTAGGCCGCTGTGTCTTAAGCCTGCCGGGAAAGTGCTAGAGAAATGCCAGTGCCTGCTTCCCACCTCCAACAATTCTGATTTAATTGGCCGGGGTGTAGCCTGAGCCTCTGGAGTTTATCCAGAACTCCCCAGTTCGTTCTCTCTCTCTCTTTTTTTAAATAAGCTCTACTCCCAACATGGGGCTTGATCTCATGACCCTGAGACCAAGATTCACGTGCTCCACCGACCAAACCGGCCAGGCACCCCTCCCCAGGTCTCTCTAACGTGCCACCTGGGTTGGGTTTTGTTTTGGCGGACAGCGCCAGGTGCTGACGATGAGCCGTGACCGGGCGAGGAGGACACGGATGGATTGGCGATGGTCTTCTCACCTGCGCTTCGCTCTCCTTTGTCTCCAGGTGGCCCCTCCGAAGGCAAGCTGATCCCGGGAGATCAGATTGTAATGATTAACGATGAGCCGGTCAGCGCTGCGCCGAGGGAGCGGGTCATCGACCTGGTCAGGTGAGTGACTCCCTCCCCTGGGCCCTGTTCTGCTGCGAGGGCTGATACGCAGCTCTGAGACCTCCTCCTGTGGAGGAATGGCTTCCTGTGAGCCAGTGAAGGGCAGTAACACGAGCCCACGTGTTCACCTTGACGGTGCTGGCGACACTGACCTCTAATCTAAAAACGCATGCCCCCTAAGCACCGAACACCCAATCGCCCGTTCTCTGTTAACTGCCAAGGTGCCTTTGCTTCAGCTGGAGTGTTCTTTGGCTCTTACTTTCATTGCTATATCCAAAGGTTGCATTTTTCCCCCTTCCAGCCTTACTGACACATTGATATTGCCTAATCGAGGAGGTCAAAATGCAATACCCAAATTCCATATAAGTGAAGAGTAATTTTATATAATCCCATGGATATGCAAACACAGAGCTCACTGATTTTTCATACTTGACTGAGTGATTCATTACTGAATTGTGAAAGCATCAACCGAAGCAAAAGGATAGTTAGGTCAAAGCTGTGACAGTTTAAAAATGTGCTTTTAGTGTATTGGCTTAGCTTGATCATCGGTGTAAATAATTCGTTGTATGATAGTCTTAGTGGAGCACCAGAAAATCTGTTTTATGTGATGTTAAAATATTAGTCAAGAGATCCTTGAAGCCCACTGGAATTCCTCTCCCACAGCGTACTTAGGGCAAAAAGGGGTCATTAGAAGTTAGAAATGAAACTATGTCTATTGTCTGAGCAGATCCGCGTGTGCTCCGGGGGTGTTAAGGGATAATGGGTGTGTGACACTTGTCTTTTACAAACCGATTTTTTTTTCCAAACAATATTGAAGCAGAAGCTAAAGCTATCAGAACATTTTAAACTGAAAAGGGGATCTTCTAACATTGATACTCTTTCGTTACAAAATGTACATCTGTACTTTGGAAAGGCATTAAGTGGAGCGTCTCAGGGGTTTTCCAGAGAAAGTTTCTTTCCCAAGTTCTGCAGCTTCTGCTTCACGGAGAAGCACTGGAGGGTCCTGTCAGTCCTTGGAAGGACTGGGAGAGGGGTAAGAAGACAGAGAAATAGAAATAGAGGCTGCTTACTTTTAGGGTGAGCAACATTTCCAGTTTGAGCCCAGCAAGGCCCACGTCCTGGGCAACCTCACAGTACTAGAAGGGTCGGCCACCCTACTTTTCTGTGTAGACCCAGGGGCATAGAGCCTTTGCAACTGGCTGGCCAAGTCTGCAAGGGGCGTCCACATCTCTCAAGGGTTCCTCCTTGTGAACAGGCACTGAGGTTCATGTTAGACCCCATCGTGCATCAGGAGTGAGACCTGGCAACACCTCCCATTTTCCTGGGGGCCAGGAATTCAAGAATCTGGGGGTGACTCTGTATTGTCAAGCCCCAGGGAGAGAGCTGCAGTGTTGTCATTTGGAGCCATTTGTCTCTTGAGATGCTTGTGGTTGTCAGCGGGGACAGGTGTCGTCCAGGCAGGCTCCAAGCCTTATGTAGGCCTGCATCCTGCAGTGTCTTGTTCGGGCCTGATGGCAGCACACGGGCTTCTTTGGTACCCCCCTGGGCACACCCTTCCGTTATCAGCTCTGTTGCCCTGTGTCCCCGGAGGATGGTAGGAGAACGAAGACGGCTCTGTGGGTGTGCTGGGACTGGCTTGCTCGCTGCAGGACAGAGACACGGCAACCAGGGTCTGAAAGTGTGATCATCTCCCAGCAGTCCTAACGGGACCTCTTGAGAGAGGTTTTCCAAAAAACGGTTTCCTTCTGCGTTAACATGTTTGGGAGAAAATGACCTCACCTTAAACAAAGTCTCTAGAGAACTTTCTGTTGTAGTTGTGTTGACTAAATGAACGACAGCTCGTGGTCCACACCCAGCCTGCCACCTGTCTCCGCACAGCCCATGAGCTAAGAATGGTTTGTACCATTTTTAAATGGCTGGGAAAAAAGAAAAATACAAGAAGAATATTTTGTGACACATGCATTCCATGTGAAATGCAAGTTTCCAGAGTCCATAAATAACATGCCAACAGTCGCACGCCACCATTCTATGCGTCGTCTCAGAGGGTTTTCTCCCTGCGGTAGCAGAGCTGGGTACTTGTGACCGACACCCATCTGGCCCTTGAGAGGAAAATGTTGTCAGTCCCTCTGGCAGGAGAGAGTAAAGGAACTAATGGCATTTTCGCCACTGATCCCTGCAACATGCCTGCATACTTGATCACGAGGTTGTGTTTGAAATGGAAAGCATGTATGCTTTTTAAACATTATGAAATACTTCAGGTGCCTAAACTCCCGTTCCCCTGTCAAGGCCGAACCCTGGGGTCAGAGGTCGGAGGGCAATAGGTGAGAGCCGAGGTCTTCTTGCCAAACTGCCTGCATTCAGAGCCCCCCTTGGTCAGTGGGGGCTGCTCCTCTGACTGGCACTGGCTGTCAGCTCTCTTGGTGGCATTGGTCCCTACAAGCTGGCTGTCTCCTGAGGCTCACCCATGAAGGCTCTGGAGGCAGGAAGGGACACATCCTGAGGAGCCACCCCACATGCACGGGGGCCTGGCACCAGCAAGACCAGCTACCCTTCAAGTTGTCTGCTTGACCCCATCACAGAGGACAAGAAGTCACCTCTCCCTAGATCTCGGCCCTTCTGACAACACCAAAGGTCCCGCTTTCAACTCCTTATGTGGGCTGGAGGAGGAAAGGGGAGGAGGAGGTGCTGGCTGGCAGTAGCAGATCCCATGGTGCCTCTTTCTAGAAAGTTCTGGGGGGTCCCACTTGTTTGTAGCTCCCTTTGGAATGTGGTCTGAGTCTCTTTATGGGTGTCCCACTGCTGTGTAACAAGGACATGGTTTAAATCCAGAATGCAGCTGGATGTGGTGGAAACAGGTGACCTGGATCCTACATCCCTGAGAGAAGAGACCTTGTCTGTGTTGTCCCCTTCTGTGTCCCCATGACCTGCTCCAAAGCCGGGCACGTAGGAGGTGCTCAGTGACCGTGCGTTGAGTGAGTGTGTGGGCTCTGGAGAGCGCTTTGTGAAAGCTCCCAATTGCCATGGTTTCCCCCAGCCCCTCCTTCAGTTCAACTTCTGCAAGCATGAATGTCAGCTAAGGGGTCCACCTCTCAGGAAACCCGTGTTTGATCAGGCAGCCACTGTGTACGCGGGACACAGAGCGAAGGCACCAGACACCGGGAGGGATGAGACGGCGCCCAGCCCTCGGGGAGCCGACAGTCCTTGCCACCATGGCTAGTGCTGTCTCTTCAGGATGGACCTCCTCGAGACAGACAAGACCCCACATCGAACCCTTGGGGGAGTTTTGTCGGATTTGAAGGGATACTGCTAGTGAGAAAAACGCATTGGCCATGGATGCCATTGAGATGATGAACGTGTCCCACAACCCTCAAGGTTGCTCCCTTTCATCTCCGTGCAATCCATTTATCTGCAATAAAAGTAACAAGGTGCTTTCTTTTAACCAGAGAAAGTCTCATGCAATAATAACACGGTGCAGTGCACGGAGGTGAGATGCAGTTGGTCGCCGAGTTCCTATTGTGGCTGATACCTTCAAAATTAAATTAAATTCATTAAACCAGAATTCAGAAATAACGCATTTCTCATTAATGAAAGAGTTCAAGTATTAGAAAAATCTTCCCCATGCCTTCCCATCAGCTTAGTCATCTGTCTGCCATATGTGTACGAACCTTTAAAAACGGGGCTCGAGTAACATCATCCCTGGGCTTCTCAGCCAATACGTGTTTTAAGTCTGTGTCTTACACAAGATAAATTCCCTCTCTCTTTAATAAAATACCCCATTTTCTTTGCCACTAAGGAAATTCAGAAAAACACTCATCACTTTAATAACCCTGTAAAATTCGCTCTTTAAAAATTGGTATCAATTCACCACTCGCCTAAATGGTTTCATCTTGTTTTGTTCTTTTTTCTCCCATCGCGGCATTTGCTTGCGGATCTTTTTTTTTCTTCTTCTTCTTCTTTTTCTTCTTTCCAGATACATTTATGTTTCTTTGTGGGTTATTTTTCTTATCATTTGGTTGCTCTATGATAGAAAATTATTTATTTTTCTAGAGAAAATGAAGGAGTTTCTTAGAGACCAATTTACTACTATAGTAACCACATTTGGGTTTTTTTCATGTGTCCTCAGATAGAGCTATAATTGCTGCACTGAAATTAGACGAGTTCTGTTCATTTCACAGTTTTCTAAGTTCTTAACTCGATCTCATACTTTATAGCGGCCGAGGAGCAAAATCTTTGCAGCATTCTTGCCCTTTGCAAATTACCATATCTTTCTTCTTTAGAAGTAGCCGCGGATAATTTCCCCTGGCTTTTCATAATTAGACATATTAACTTGAAACAATTTCCAAAATTTTATTTTTGAAAACTAAGGAGTATAATTGCTCGTAGACATCATGAATCATGCCCCATCCCTCAAGGCTAGCCAACCCAACTCAACTCGTTTCACTTCAACAAATGATTACTGAGCATTAATTAGGTAGCAGACGATGGGGCGGGTGCTGGCCATGTATAAATACCAAAGACATGATTCTTGCCCTTCAGGAGGAGACGTCCAGCTAATTTCCCTGTATTTATGAGTGTTGCAAGGCTGCAGTGGAGGGTAGCATTTGGAAGGAATGTTTGACGAGGTTGGATGGGGATGTAGAAGAGTGTAATGAAGTGGCAATGTGTAGCTGTGAACCCTGAGTGGAAGAGCAGGTTCATGGCTGGAGAGAGGCTTGTCAAATACATCTTGGTTCATACCTGGAAACCCCAGACCCTCCTGATGGACACTTACTTTCCCACGTGCAGAGAGAGAAATATCCATTGCCCTCATGGCCATCCTAAACCGTGACGTCAAAGTTTGGTCCTGCCTTCCTGCTGTCACCCCTTTAAGGCAGCAACAGAGCTCCTGGCTTGGGTTGGCCTGGAGGCATTTGGGGAGTCAGGACCCATCTGAAAATTGGGTGAATAGCGTGGACCTGCGCCTCCAACCAGAAGCATCCACGGGCACGCACGGTTTTGCC